TCTATCTATCTATCTATCTATCTATCTATCTATCTATCTATCTATCTATCTATTTATCTGTGTCTATTTATCTATCTATCTATCATCTGTTTGTCTTCCTTCCTCCCTGCTTGCCTATTTCTCTATTGCCTATTCCGAGGAACAGATTCAAAAAGCTGCTGATTCAGCTGCAAGTTATAATACAGGAAACATATGTTTTATCTGCTCTTTTTTTTTCTAATGTAGATGTTTATGTTGATCTTTTTTTTTGAATGATTATAGATTTAATTGAGATTTTGTAGTGCTCCAGGGCTTGATTCAATTAGCTCAATATCATTTGGAACTAGAGGCATTTTGAGAATCTCAGCATTAATGGGGAGTCCTTTTATTTGTAATTCTGTAATTTTGTGTGTGGTTTTTTTTTTTTTTTGTTTGTTTTCTTTTGGCTAGGCAATGGGGTTAAGTGACTTGCCCAAGCTCACACAGCTAGTGAGTGTTATGTGTCTGAGGCCAGATTTGAACTCAGGTCCTCCTGACTCCAGGACCGGTGCTCTATCCACTGTGCCACCTACTTGCCCCCACACTGATCATTCTTAGAAAGATTTCTAGATATGAGAATATAGACATATAGGGTGGTAATTACTAATTTTTTCAGTTGCCTTTGTGGATAAAAGTACTGTCTGTAATTGTTTCCATTTGTTGGAGTCTTCTCTTTTTCAAGAAATCTTGTAAGTCGGTCCCTGAGTCCCTTTAAAGTTGTCTCATTTCCCAAATGGATTCTTCTGTACGTATTTGGTCAGTTACTTTTTGTGTCTAGATTGTCTAAAGTACTATTTCTACATCTTCACATCATTATCAGCAGGGTGGTAGGTCCAATATGGTCCCCATGCTCTCAGATTGTCTGTCTTTAGCCTGGTCTTATACCAAGCTTTTTGTGAGAGCCTTTCCTCACCTCAAATGCTTTTTTCTTTTTACTCTTTGGTGAAGCAATACTCCTTGTAATCTTTTGTCATTTACCTCTATAAATTTTTTTTTTAAACAAATAAGCTTATATGCTAAACTACTGTTGCTCTTGGCTGTCACGTCTCTCCACCTGGCAAGGAAGTTGAATGTTTGTTATTTGAAGTGATAACTGGGCTCCTTTGTCCACCTTTATTGCAGCAGTTGCTTTTCCTTATTTAAACTTCTAAGCAATGGTAAATCACAGTGATGGTCACCATTTTCTTGTTTGTTTGTTTCCCTAATTTTGGGAACCCTGTTTAAAGATGTTGGATTGAAGCTGCCATCATCACCTACAGTGTCTTACTTTTCCCTTTATCCTTCTCATTTAGTTTGATTTTGATCTTTAACTAGTCAGATGATGTAACTATAAATAGACAGTGAATTCTGAAAGGACCACTAGGTGGGTAACCAGTTGTTTCTTGTCTGTTAAGATATAGTCAATTAAAAATTTTTTTGAGGTTGTTCCATACTTGCAACATCTAAACACTTCCAACTTTCTCCTGAAGAAAGCATGCATGATGCATATGGTATAACCATTTGGTCTCTTTTGCTTCTTGATGTTGAATTATATTTTCCTGTATGTTCCTCTATTTGTCCTTCCTTGTACCCTCCTTCCCCATTTGAACTAAAATGACTGATGTTGGAGTGGCAGCTAGATGATTCAGTGTTTAGAGCACTGGGCCTGGAGTCAGGAAGACCTGAGTTTAAATCTGGTCTCAGACACTTACTAGCTGTGTGACCCTGGGTAAGTCACTTAACCTCTGTTTGTCTTAATCCACTGGAGAAGGAAATGGTAAACCACTTCAGTATGTTTGCCAAGAAAACCCCATGGACAGTTGGTCGATGGGGTCATGACAGTTGGATATGACTGAATGACAACAATAACAAACTGATGTTGGAAGATGCTGACCTACTTTGGAGAATTTTGTCATGGTTGTCATAAAATTTCTCAACTTCTCATCCTCTGCAATAGATGTTAGCGTCAAGCTTTTGTATCTTCATGCTGTTCTGTTTACCTGTGATCATCATACATTTTTTCCACAACAAGATGTTTCTTATTGCCTTTGCGACTGTAAAAACTAACTGCCAACTATTCCATTTATTTCTATGATGAGAACTCAGGAGCCTGTCTTCCATGTAGTGGCAGTTTCTCCAAATTTTCTCTTTCATTTATAGAGAAAAGGTCAATACTGACATGGTCTAGTTCCATAGGACATTCACTAGCTGGTTATTGAACAAAGAGAAATGGAATTTATGGCATGGTCTAAAAATGGAGTGATTCTTAGCTCCCTCTTTCCCCTTTCCTCCACTATTCCCCTACTATCTCTATGAAAACTGAAGAGGGCTACGCAGTCCTGAAAGCTATTTTGTGTTTTTTTTTTGTCCCATGTTTTCATGGCCAAAAATTTGTCATTTAGTGGCCAAGTTTTAGAGGATTAACTTCCCTATAAAAAGCTAGGTATGTTCTCTTCATTCATTCATTTATTTATGCAAAAAGCATTTATTAAGCATTTACTATGTACCAGGCACAGAGCTAGGCACTAAAAAAATAAGAAATACAAGTTCCAATATAATAATAATAATAATGATGATGTTCTAAATAGACACACGGCTTAATTATGAAAACTAATATCATAAAATGTGGAAGATGAGAGATTTGTTTTGCTCGACTATGCATTTTTTTAAACAAGATTTTGTTTTTCTTTCTCTTTTCCAAAGTGATGGGGGTGGTGGTGGTGGGGAAATAGGAGGGAGATCAAATAAATGCTTGTTAATTAAAAAAAAAGTATAAAAGGAGAAATAGTGCCTGTCTGCAAGAAACTTAAATTCTATTTAGGGGAATATGAATATAGCTAAATAAAATATATACAAAATAAATGCAAATTAATTTCCAAAAGATCTAGAGGCACTAGCAACTGGGGGTGGGAAGGAGGGAATCAGAATTGGCTTCATGTGTAAGAGAGGGCACTTGAGCTGATCCTTGGAGGAAGCCAGGAATTCTATATGTGGGAGATGAGGAAGAAGTATATTACAGGTGTGGGGGAGAGTTTGTGCACAGGCATGGCTGCTGGAGTCAGTTACTTAAGCACCTACTATGTGCCAGGAAATACTAAGCTGTAGGGATTCAAAGAAAGGAAAAAGACAGTCCTTGTTCTCAAAGATTCCACTGTCTAATGGGGGACACAAACATGCAAACAAACAAGCTTTATACAAAATTAATAGGAAATAACCCACAGAGGGGAGGCACTAGAATTAAGAGGGATAGGGAAGGGTTCCTATAGAAAATGGGATTTTAGCTAGGACTTGAAGGAAGCCAGGAGGCAGAGATGAGGAGAGACAGTATTCCAGGGATGGAAGACAGCCAGAAAAAATGCCTGGAGATGAGAGATGTCTTGTTCTGAGAGTAGCCAGGAGACCAATGTCACTAGATTGAAGAATCCATGGTGGGGAGGAAGGTGTAAGGTATAAGAAGACTAGGGATGTGTGTGTGTGTGTGTGTGTGTGTGTGTGTGTGTGGTGTGGGAATC